AATGAAGGGTCTAGGCCCGAGGCGTCAGCCTTCCTGCTCTTACGATGCTGCTTGGCCTGCTGTGTTCATCCAGCTCTACACCTTGTTATCTCGGATTCTCCAGCATCTGCAATTCCTACTATCTCTGAAACCTTCTTAATTAAGCTATTGGCCAGCTGCTCCCTCATTGTTCAATGTCAAAATTTAGTTTGCACATCAAATGCCTTTGAGAAGTCTAAAAGCACTAGCTTTACCACATTACCCACATTTAAAACAAAACTCAAATCAAGTTCATTCCGCTTTGGAACCCTGCAGCCCAATGGTATCAATGTGGACTTCACAAGCTTCAAAATCTCCCCTCCCCCTACCGCATCCCAAAACCAGCCCAGCTTGTCCCCGCCTCCCTAACCTGTCCTTCTTCCCAAATATACCCTCCTCCCACCTCAAGCCCCACCCCCTTCTCCTACCTACTAGCCTCATCTCGCCCCCTTGACCTGTCCGTCCTCCCTGGACTGACCTATCCCCTCCCTAATTCCCCACCTACACTCACCTTTACTGGCTCCATCCCCGCCTCTTCGACCTGTTTGTCTCCTCTCCACCTATCTTCTCCTCTATCTATTTTCTATCCGCCTCCCCCTTTTTCCCTATTTATTTCAGAATCCCCTTCCCCCTCCCCCATTTCTGAAGAAAGGTCTAGGCCTGAAACGTCAGCCTTTCTGCTCCTATGATGCTGCTTGGCCTGCTGTGTTCATCCAGCTCTACACCTTGTTATCTCAAGTTCATTCAATGCAATTTGCCTTCAATATAGGCATGCTGGCTTTCCATAATTAAGTACTGCTCGTTCATACTATTTCATATTTCAATGCTTAATCTCTCAGTGATAAATTATTATAATGATGGCTCTGGAGAAGGGCAAATTGGATATCAGCTTCCTGTTTTCCATGTTTAAATATGTATATACAGTTGGGTGATATTGCAATCCAATTGCACCTTAATCACAGTGATTGCTGCAAACCTTATCATTACATCTATAGCCAAATCTTCTTCTTATGCTACTCCTATATCATTCATACTTATGAGGTATACTTTCACCAGGGTTATTGTTATCACTTTTCATAAATGAAAACATTATAAAACATAAGGAATTAACTTGTATTTTTCTTGTAAAGCTTCAGTTTTTGTTTAATGCGGTGCTTATGTATCACAGCAATCCTGAACTGATTTAATGTATTATCCAAAGTATCTATATATAGCCAACTCCCCTTAATTCAGTCATAAAACTTGGCTTGATAGCTAATTCAATTCTTTGTAATGCAGTAGTCCAAGTCTATTCAGCTGCAGTTGGATAGAAGACAAGACATTAATGTTTTGAAATCCATTCACAATGTCTTGTTACATTTGAATATTCAATTACCAGAACAAAAAGAAATGGCGCAAGCAGAAAGTTCTGAGCGGAGAGCCAGCAGTGGGACGCAAATTGTCAGACCATCAATTGAACCGTAGATCAGAAGGCGAATGGCTTGACCTTAAGACTATGTCTGGTAAGTGTATTTGTTAAGTGTTCAATATATCAACAGCTGAAGCTTTTAAGATACGTAATGTGCCTTCAACAAATTCAGGAGTGCATTACGTAGCGAAATGTAAGATTTGGAATTGTGATATTTATTTGTAATAGGAAATAAAGTTGATGGTCAGAATCCGATCAATTAATTTTATTAATGAAGATACAAATTTAGCATGATGGGTTTGCGAGTTCACATTTCTCAATTGCATGAGGCTCCCCCCGCCCCGCCCCGATGACAGGCCACATAAAATTCCCTGGGTGGCTGCCTTATCCAGGCTGGACATGTCCGTGATTTTATGAGGTGGGCAAGGCCTAGAGAAATTCACCACGCTTGCCACGTTAATTGAGGCCCTTAAGTAGTAAATTATTGGCTCCTTGAAGGCAGTTTTCTCAACTAACAGGAGGAATCCAGGGACAGAGATGAAGCCTGATAGATCATTCTGGGCATGAAAGGTGAAGCCCCATTACCTGTTCCCCTTTTGACACTGACACTCCCTATCAGGTGCTCCCATACAGCCTGATGTGGCCATCCTGATTCTCCCCACTTCCCAAAATTACTACAAGAACCTCACATACCTGGGCTGCAGGACTGCTTGTAGCCCCGGCAATGCCCACTACTCTTGGTAATGCTGCTGTGGCTACAAAGCTATCAGTGGCAGAGTCTAAGGTGGGATTTCGTCCTGAATGAGGGGTGAAAATCCTACATCCTTGATGCTTCAAATGGCTGCAAGACAGGCATAATCAGGTATTCCTTGTCAATAGCAGGCAGCAATAAAATTCTGCCCACAGATTTCTACTAAGATCTGGCTCAAGGTTGAACACCATTGTAACTTTTCGAGGTCCCCACCTTCCACTATGTTACAACAGAGGCTCAGCAACCTTTGATGGCTTAAGCTGGTTAATTGTTGTCGTATTAGAGATGTGCTTTTCCTCTTGTTCTATTAATGTCAGCAATGGGTTGCCAATAGAGGAAACGCATCTCAAATTGCAGTAAAGTCATAAACATTCTGAGCTCAGGCAATCAATCACATGAAGAAATGTACAAAAATGACACACAAGATTGGCAGCCTGGTCTATCTAACCTATCTTGTATGTTGTGTCAAATGCATCAAAATAAAGACAGTCCCTATACGCTCATGAGCTATGTAATCTCTTGCAAAAGGTGAAAACCTAGGTCATTTTGAAATAAAATCTGAGAAATTCCTCTCTGATCCCCTTAGGCCATCAAAAATTAGTCAGAAATTGTCCAATTAGTCATCACAAATCTTCACTAGCGATGAAATCATATATTTCATCATTTATATTTCGATTATTCCCTGAGGTGATCTTCAGATTAGTAGTAGATAGAGTCTTCTTGAAGAAATATAGTAAACCAATGTTTGTTGAACAAATAGGCAATCTGTTCCAAAGGTCCAGTATTCCCTGGGAAAATATCTGCTTATCAGCAGTCTAGTTCTGCTGTTGCATAAGGAAAACATTTTCCCTGATCCTCATAATCTATTCAGTTGAATATCAAATGGCTCAACTGACAAAGTATTCTAACTGAGGATTAACAAGGTTTGTACAAAGATTAAATGCTGTGTTTTGTTTTAGTGAACTGTTTTAGGATTACAACCTGGAATCCTCGTTTAAAAGAGAAAGTGCTGGTGGAACCCAGTAGGTCTGGCAGAATCTTTGGAGGGAGAAACATTGTTAACATTTTGAGTCCAATGTACCTTTCCTACTCAGCATTAACTGTGTCTGTCCACAGCTGCTGCCAGAATTGCTGGGTTTTTCCAGCACCTTCTGTTTTTATATCCGATTGCCAGCATCTGTAATACTTTGATTTTATACTAGAATTCTGGTTGCTTTAGCTGTAGCTTCACAGTATTGGCCATTGGACAATAATGTACTAAAATACACAGATCGCTTTCTTTTACCATTTGACTTTTGTTAGTTCCTTGATATTAGTATATTTAGCATTTTAGCTTTCCACTTTATCTTTCCAAGTTAAGCATCATTTTCATAATACGGGCGTGTTATTCCACCACTTCAACATCTGCTTATAGTAGTGCAGCATCTGCACATTTTCTGGTCTATTATGCCAACTACAAATGCAGTTGTTTGGGACTTTAGGTCATTCATCATTTGATATTTATTTGATTGAACTTTTTATAGAAGTTAGTTTGTATCGGAGGGATACCATGTAGATATTTTCCACCTGGACATTCACAAAGGCTTTGATAAAGTTTCTGTGCTATAAACTCCTCTACAAGGTAAGAATTTGGTAGAATTATTGGCAATCTGACTGCCTACATGCAGAAAATGTGAACCAATGAATTTGGAAACCAGTAGTGTCCCTCAAGGATTGGTGTTTAGACCTTTGCTATTTACCATTTTTATGAACAGTTTAGATGTAGGTGTGGGCAAAGCTTCTGGACAATACCAAGAGGAGTGTGAAAGGTAGAAACCTAGGTCATTTTGGATCACAATAGGCACAATGTTATGTCACCAATTGATTGCACTGCTAAGAGCTTCATGATTGTCCTTAACAAAACCAATGAGAATCAATTCTATACTCTTCAGTAAATAACAAAAAATGCTGACAGTAATCAGATTGTTAGCATTTTTTTAAGAGAGCAATGGAGTTATGTTTCAGGTCTGTGACTTTTCATCTGAATCTGTCATTCACTTTGGTAAGCATTTCCATTCCCCAGTGAACGGAATTGCATAACTAAACAATTGCTGTTCCCCTCTCCTCACATGTTACTAAAACTGCTATAATTCCACATTCCACTTGTGTGAAATAAATTGTCTCAGGAATGCACTGAAACAACATCTTTCCCCTACTGAGGAAGATTTTAGCCTGCAACTTTACAATGCCATTCAGAATTTTCATAATCCTCCCTCTGACTCTTCTGATCAAAATCTCCCTCTGGAACATAATTTGTTTTACTATTCACAGGAATCCCTCTCCCAAATTGGTTGCATTTCTCCTGCCACAATCAATGATCACTCCCTTGATCTCAATATCCCAGCTAATAATAATTTGTCTTTTTTAGCTTTCTTATTCCCAACCCCCTCCCTACTTCCATCAATATGCTTTAACCTCCTCTTCCACTGTCTTCTACTTCCCTATCCCTTTAATTAATTTCTCAGCCCTAGGGAAAAGCAGATCACCACAATTTCCCTTTGGTAGAGGTGTAGCCCTTCAGACAGTTTTGGTAAAGGTGTGACAGTTTTTAAACAAGGATGGAGATGGAAGTGGGAAAGAACAAAAGGAAAGGTCTCTTTTGGCTTAGAAGGCAAGAGGGATTAAATGACAAAAGGGGATGATAGTGCAAGTGAAGGGATACATGTCTACAAGTAAAGATACAGAAAATTTATCTAGAGGAGGTGTAAATGGAACATGCAGAATAATTACCAACTGCCGCTCTCCAAAACCAAGAATATACTTAAAAGAAAAAAATGACAAAGGTTATGATGTGTATAAGAATCAAAGAGTAGAATCTCTAGAGTACAGAAACAGGACATTCGGCCCAACAGGTCCACACCAACTTTCTGAAGTGTATCCCACCCAGACTCATCCCCCAACCCTATCTCTGTAACCACGACCAATCCACCTAAGCTCCACATCCCTGGATACTATGGGCAATTTAGCATGGCCAATCCATGCTGACACGGGGAGAATGTGCAAACTCCACACAGTCGCACAAGGCTGGAATTGAACCCAGGTCCCTGGCGCTGTGAGGCAGCAGTGCTAACCACTAAGCCACCATGCCGCCCCATCTGAATTTTTTAAATTCAATGTTGTTGAGTCCAGAAGATTTTAAAGTGCTTTATTGGAAGATCAAGTGCTGTTCCTCCAGCTTACACTTCCTCAGTTTGAGAAGCTGAAGGCAGGGAAGTTGGAGTGAGGTGGAGTAAAGATTTAATGTGACAGGTGACTGAAAGTTCAGGGTCAAACTTGTAGACTGAATGGTCACCTAATCTACCTTTTGGTCTCCCCAGTTGACGCCACAATGTGAGCATGATTACCATTTGCTAAATGGAACAAAGTATATCACTGTTTCAGCAGGAAGAAGTGAAAAGCTAACAAAGCAGGTGGTAAAAGAACATGTGCTACATCCCCGGTATTGGCATGGGAAATTTCTGTGACAATAGATGGGTAGTTTGGGATAATTGCCAAGTGAATCGGGGTGCTGCAGAGGGAACTAACCATCCCTTTGGAAAACGTAGAGTGGAGAGGAAGTGAGGATACGTTTTGTGGTGGCATCATGCCAAAGGTAGTAGAGCAGCAGAGTGTGAACCGTTAAATGCAAATCTTGATAGGTTGAAAAGAGATAGTGGTAATCCTATCACTGTTTTAGGACATCTAGACAAAAGGTGTAAAAGCGGAAGTGTAGAAATGAAACAGAAGAGGTCAAGAACCCTGTTAACCACCTGTGTGGGGAAGCCTTGGTAAGAAAATCAAAATACACACTGGGAACATTGATATGGTTAGTTGCACCATTAAAATAAGTGTGACAGAGATGAAGAAACTTGAAGAGTAGAATAGGGTATTTACAGGAGGTGGGGTTTCAGGTTGTCTAATCAACTTGTCTGAATGGGTGAAGTTCAGTCACCACACAAGAAACTTGACACCATTCAGCCTGCTTGATCAGCACCCAAACCACCACCTTCAACCTTCACTTTCTTCACCACTGCCATAGAGTGGCAGCAGGGTGTACCATCTACAAGATGCACTGCGGTAAGTCACCAAGGACCCTTCAACAATACCGTACAAACCCAAAATCTCTAATACATAGAAAGACAAGGGGAGCAGAATTATGGGGACAGCACCACCTGCAAGATTCCCTCCAAGTCACATACCACCTGTTCGTTTGCTGTTACTGGGTCAAAATCCTGGAATAGCACTGTGGGTGTACCTACACATGATGGATGACAGTGGCTGAGAAGGCAGCTCACCACAATCTTCTCAAAGGCAGTTATGGATGGGCAATGAATGCTGGCTTAGCAACAATACCCACATCTTATGAAAATATAAAGAGGTAGGGAAGAGGACCTTTGTGTTAGAATGAAGAATGTTCCAGATATCTCAAGAAAAGGCAGGCATGCAGGTTCCTACAGAAATTCAGTTTAACTACATGTGGCTAAAAGAGTGGTGTGGGAAAGAGGGTTTCCTTTTCATGGGGCACTGACATCAGTTCTGGGACAGGAGGGATCTATACCCCTGGGATGGACTCCACCTGAACAGTGCCACGTCCAGTGTTCTGGCGAAAAGGGTAAATAGGGTGGTCAATAGGACTTTAAACTAGTAAGTAGGGGGGAAGGGAGGAGTGAGCATACAGGGAGTACAACAATAAATGGAAGGCAAAACAGCAGGTTAGCAGGTGACGAGGAATGAAAATTAGGGAAAAAGTTAAAGGGAAGGAGAACTCAAGAGCTGTTAGTAATGGAGGTGATAGGACTCAAAAAGAAGGTGCAAAAACTGGCATAAGGGCACTTTATCTGAATGCTCGGAGCATTCGAAACAAGGTGGATGGGTTGACGGCGCAGACCATGGCAAATGGGTATGATTTAGTGGCCATTACAGAGACATGGTTGCAGGATGGTCCTGTCTGGGAGTTAAATATCCAGGGGTATCAAACTGTTCGGAAGGACAGGCAGGAAGGTAAGGGAGGTGGTGTCGCTCTGATTTTTAAGGATGATGTCAGGGCGGTAGTGAGAGATGATATAGGTTCCACTGAACAAAAGGTTGAATCCATTTGGGTGGAAATTAGGAATAGCAGGGAGAAGAAGTCACTGATAGGTGTGGTCTATAGGCCACCAAATAATGACATCGTGGTGGGGCGGGCAATAAACATAGAAATAGCCAATGCATGTAAAAATGGTACAGCAATTATCAAGGGGGATTTTAATCTACATATCGATTGGTCAAACCAGGTCGGTCATGGCAGCCTTGAGGAGGGGTTCATAGAATTCATACGCAATAATTTACTTGAACAATATGTAATGGAACCTATGAGGGAGCGAGCTATCCTAGATCTAGTCCTGTGTAATGAGGCAGGAATAGTTAATGATCTCACAGTTAGGGATCCTCTAGGAAGGAGCGATCACAGTATGGTCGAATTTAAAATACAGATGGAGCGTGAGAAGGTTAAATCCAGTACCAATGTCCTGTGCTTAAACAAAGGAGACTATGATGGGATGAGGGGGGGTTAGCTAAGGTAGAATGGGAGCAAAAACTTTATGGTGGAGGGCTTTCAAAATGATTTTTTCACAGTGCTCACAGTGATAAGGAAGAACTGTAGGAAAAGAGAGAGCCAGCCATGGATATCTAAGGAAATAAAGGAAAGTATCAGACTGAAAAAAAACACATATAAAAAAGCAAAGAGTGGTGGGAAACTAGTAGACTGGGAAATCTTTAAAGGCCAAAAAAATTTATAAAGAAAAGTAAGATAGATTATGAGAGTAAACTAGCCCAGAATATAAAAACAGGCAGCAGAAGTTTCTATAAATATGTAAATCGTAAAAGAGTGGCAAAGGTAAACATTGGTCCTTTAGAGGATGAGAAGGCCAATTTAATAACTGGCAATGAGGAAATAGGCGAGGCATTAAACAGTTATTTTGTGTCGGTCTTCACTGTGCAAGACACAAATAACATGCCGAAAACTGATGGCAAGAAGGTTGTAGCAGGTGAGGACCTAGAAACTATCATTATCACTAAGGAGGCAGTGCTGGGCAAGCTAATGGGGCTAAAGGTAGACAAGTCTCCTGGCCCTGATGAGATGCATCCCAGGGTACTAAAAGAGGTGATGGGGGAAATAGCAAATGCACTAGTAATTATTTACCAAAATTCACTGGACTCTGGGGTGGTTCCCACAGATTGGAAAACAGCCAATGTGACGCCACTGTTTAAAAAAGGAAGTAGACAAAAAGCAGGTAACTTTAGGCCATTCTTCAGAAAAGGGTCTCGGCCCGAAACGTCAGCCTTCCTGCTCCTCTGATGCTGCTTGGCCTGCTGTGTTCATCCAGCTCTGCACCTTGTTATCTCAGATTCTCCAGCATCTGCAGATCCTGCTATCTCTGAAATAACTTTAGGCCAGTTAGCTTAACTTCGGTAGTAGGGAAAATGCTTGAATCTATCATTAAGGAAGAAATAGCAAGACATCTGTATATAAATTGTCCCATTGGGAACACCCAGCATGGATTCATGAAGGGTAGGTCATGTTTAACTAAGTTGGTGGAATTCTTTGAGGACATTACTTGCATGATGGACAATGGGGAACCTGTGGATGTGGTGTATCTGGATTTCCAGAAGGCATTTGACAAGGTGCCACACCAAAGACTGCTACATAAGATAAAGTTGCACGGTATTACAGGTAATGTATTGGCATGGATAGAGGATTGGTTGACTAGTAGAAAACAAAGTGTAGGGGTAAATGGGTGTTTTTCTGGTTGGCGGTCAGTGGCTAGTGGTGTGCCTCAGGGATCAGTGTTGGGACCGCAATTGTTTACAATTTACATAGACGATTTGGAGTTGGGACTAAATGTGGTGTGTCAAAATTTGCAGATGACACTAAGGTGAGTGGTAGAGCGACATGTGCAGAAGACACTGAAAGTCTGCAGAGGGATATAGATAGTCTAAGTGAGTGGACAAAGGTCTGGCAGATGGAGTATAATGTTGATAAGTGTGAAGTCATCCATTTTGGTAGTAATAACAGCAAAATGGACTATGTTTTAAATGGTAAAAAATTGCAGCACGCTGCTGTGCAGAGGGATTTGGGTGTCCTTGTGCATGAATCGCTAAAAGTAGGATTGCAGATGCAGCAGGTAATTAAAAAGGCAAATGGAATTTTGTCTGTCATTGCTCGAGGGATGGAGTTTAAAAACAGGGAGACTATTCTGCAGCTGTATAGGGTTCTGGTGAGGCCACACCTGGAGTATTGTGTGCAGTTTTGGTCTCCTTACTTGAGAAGGGATATACTAGCACTGAAAGGGGTGCAGAGGAGGTTCACTCGGTTGATTCCAGAGTTGAGAGGGTTGGATTATGAGGAGAGACTGAGTAGGCTGGGATTATACTCATTGGAATTCAGAAGAATGAGGGGAAATCTTATAGAAACATATAAGATTACGAAGGGAATAGATAAGGTGGAGGCAGGTAAAACTAGGACTAGGGGACATAGCCTCAAAATATAGGAAAGCAGATGTAGGGCTGAGGTCAGGAGGAACTTCTTCACCCAAAGGGTTGTGAATCTGTGGAATTCCCTGCCCAGTGAAGCGGTTGAAGCTACCTCGCTGAATGTTTTTAAGGCAAGGCTAGATAAATTTTTGAAGAGTAAAGGAATTAAGGGTTATGGTGAGCAGGCAGGTAAGTGGAGTTGAGTCTCAAAAAGATCAGCCATGATCTTATTAAATGGCAGGGCAGGCTCGAGGGGCCAGATGGCCTACTCCAGCTCCTAGTTCTTATGTTCTTATGTACACTCAATTTTTCCAAATAAAGGAAAATTGTGCAATGTGAGAACAAATTAAGACAGGCAGAGGAGAGTGATGGAATTGTTTTGAATGGGAACTGATTGATTTTCTGTTCAATGGAGACACAAATGCTCTCAAAATGAATTAGTGAGGACTAAAAATGTGGAGAGATTGGATATCCATGGTGAAAAGGAGATGGTTGGGCCTGTAGATTCAAAACCTGATATTGAAAAGCTTTGCAAGGGAGGTTTCGTATGGAACATCTTTGAATATCATAATGACATAGTCTAGGTAACAAAATGTTGAAGTACAGTATATAATAATTAATTATTTCTTGTTTCAGGAGCAGACCAACTGGATGGCTTTGGTGAGCAACATGATGTAACCCAGGTTACTGACCTCGATGGTACCTTAGGATCCCCATCAAAGATATCTGTTGCACCTGATTTAAAGTCTGTTTACATTCATGACTCACATAGTGAAATTGACTATTGTGCTGCAAACTATGAAGTTAATGTGAAACCTAAAAAACATCATTCAAACCATTTGCATCATTCACACGGCCACTGCCATTCTAATAAAGAGATGCAAGATGCTGGAATAGCGAATATTGCTTGGATGGTTATCATGGGAGATGGTATGCATAACTTCAGTGATGGCTTGGCAATAGGTAAGAAAATGAAGCTGAATGCAATATCCAAAAACACATGATTGCTTTAGCCGTGTCTAGAAGTAATACAAGTAACAAAATTTGCTCATATCCTTAATCATTAAAGGCACAGATTAAATATTTGAATTATATCCCACTAAAACTTGAATTTCTTCAATACAGTTCTGTAGAGTATCGATTGTTTTGTACCACCATATCTAAATTCCAATCTGTATCACCGGTAACCAGATTTTGTGTACTGAATTAATTTGTACTTTGTAGATGTATTCCACTTCAAAAACCATGGGCTGAATTTTACCAAAAATCAACTAATTGTCAATATCGGAGTTTCAAGGAGGGTTTCTCTCTGTGAGCTCTGACAAGTTACCTCACATGATTTTATGCTGCTCACCTCATTAAGTATACACCAAGCCTCTATGACATTGTTCTGATGCTATCTTGTGCTCACTAGCAGTGGAGGTAATCACCACTGCCTGGACTTTGCAAGATTCCATATCTAAACTCCAGCCATGCACCAGGCCAATTTGTTGCCAACCAGGAATTGCCCTTAACAGATGCAGTGTCAGAAGAATTGCCCAAAGATGGCCGATAAAGATAAGTTGGCACCCGGATTTGGTTACAGGAACCTGGAGGGTCCTGATCAATGGTATGGTGAAGACGGCCATTTTTTTTGTCAGGACTGCTGGAGGAGATCTCGCTACGAGACCCTGCCAGCCTTGTGTGAAATTACCACCTGGATCATTGTGATATTCACGGTCCTGAGAAATGTCCAGCAGTGCAGTTGGAAGGGTAATAACCTACCTGCACTCTGCAAGGGTAAGGGCCACTTCTTCGTTCTGCTGTTCGCTAACTCTGCCGTTGTACCTACCTCCCACCAAGACTTATGATCTGCCATTTGGGTCATTACTGCATGCAAGATCTTCCCTCACTTGCTTTCACCCACTCCAATCTGGACTACTAAACTCTCATGCCCTCTCATTAACCCAGGACATCTCACAAACTTTCCTCTACCTGCACCAACACTAACAGCTACTCCAGCCACTTTCACCTCATTTAATCCCTACCTGTGTCTTATTCAAGGAGAAAACATAATAGGGCAAAGAGTACCAAGGCAAGTGGGGTGCCTGACCTTCATCTCCTCACTGCCTATGAGGAGGGAATACTTGCCTTAGTGGGAGAGGACTATTGCTGCTCATGAAGTGATGCCAAGACCTCCATGGTCCGGCAACCAAGTAAGATTAAATGGGTGCAAGGTTCTCCCATTGCTACCGTTATGATTGCATTCTTAACATGGTCAAAACTTTAACCCTATCTTGCAATCATTGCCTTCTTGTCTGCTGCAGACACCTTTGGTACCTGCATAGTAATCACCATGAAGAGACCAGCCCTTAAGGATGTCACCTTCTGCTCCACCTCTGAGGAAGCCACAGATCCTTCAGAGGAAGCACCCATGTCTGTTCCCCGCATCCTCCTCCAGCTCAGATACTGACACCTCACCGGGTACTTCAGGTAAAATGCAGCTGAGAACACATGCTAGTGAGCGTATCACTGTCATGTCTCCCAAGCTGCCAAAAGAAGACAGGCCCCAGGTCACTGGCACTCAAAGGACTGCTGGAGACCAGGTCCCAGCTCAAGCCCAGGCAAGAGAGGACCCCATGATGTCAGTCATTAATAACTTCCTTTAAACATCAACCAAGACACCGGAGCAGTAGGTATGTTTGTTGGAAGCATTTGCAAAACTGATTTAGGAGTCCACCAGAGCTATCTGCATTGTACTATCTCTGATGTGCTGCCCAAGCATCTGGCTTCTTCTGTGGACAGTTTGGTGACTGAGAGCCAGGTTCCTTGCTGTTTCACCGGATACTCACACAAATATGCACTCCATTGCTGCAGCCATTGGTGCTCATCAAAGGCAACAGTGGAATGAGGGACTTTGACCTCATTCCAAGTGTCCCTTCCTTTCAAAGAGGCAGGGTGGTGTCAATAGGCATCAAGCTCAAGAATGAACCACATACAGGCTCCAAAGAAGTGTCCATTCGGGGAAACTACAGAGGTGCCTGGGTCTTCCCCATCCACCCAGTCTGCAATCCCCAACTCAATGGGCTTTTGAGCTGAGGAAGACGAGCCTGCTTCTGGGCAGAACACACTTCTGGATGTCTGGGTCCTATAGCCACAAACATCTCTGGGATCACCTGTTTAAAACACCAAATCTAAAAGGCTCCACTGTTGGGCAGGTTCACCACACCGTGGACTGGATGTAATGGAATAGAAGGAAAGTGAAAATCTTAGTGTGTATGTAGAAGGCGTAGGTGAGACTTCATTGCAAATAAATTGAGATGTTTGTAAATATATCTTTCTACTACTTCAGCAGTGTGAGAGAAAGTTATCTTAACTGTATGTATTACCCCTTCTGCATCCCAGCATTCTACTTCCAGTCCCCACAATTTGCCCACCATAGCAGTGGCCCCAAATGACTTCATATACTTTCAGCAAACAATCCTCTGGACTGACCATGGCCCACTCCCCGACTGATTTAGAAAGACACCCCAACTGATTACTGACTAGACCCCTGACTATTCTGTCTTCAGCTCCCTTCCTGACATGCTGCTAAACCCCAGACTGGTTTCACTAGGCCTGCAAGACTGACAACAGCCCACTCTCAATAATGTAGTGATTCGGGCTCCCTGATGCTGGATGTCCCAAGCGGCCAGCTGACAATGTCCGATGTCTCGGACTGAGATTGATTGACATCTTTGACTTACTGTGGTCGTACTTCCTGACTAAAGACAGTCTATGTAGACTTGAGGACTACTCTCCTAGGACTTCAAGACGTGGCCATTTAACTGAAGCACAACCAATGTTTTTATCACAAACACAGCATGGTGCCATTCAGCAACATGTCCAGACCCCTTGACTTATTACTGACAACTGTGACACGCTGCCAGGCTCTGTGTCTACACTAAAAGGCAAGGCTGCACAGAGGGACTGTGAGCCTTTAAGTTCTGAATGAAGCAGCAAAGCACAAAAATGCAAGGTGAGGCATGGCCTAGATTCTGTGATCAACAAGTAAGCACAAAGTGAGTGACTGCTAAGAGCTATGAGATCGATGATTTTCCCTGCGCGCAAAGTAGCCTGACAGCAGCATTTCAGTGCAAGGTGTCTCCAAAATGCAATATTGAAATAGTGAACAGTATTCTAAGTGAAACAGATGTGCCATGATAATTTGGTGAGGCTGATGCATGTCCAATGCCAACCTCCATAGATGCAGGCATTTACTGCCCATGGAGCTGCCATGTCCCGACACTGACTTATGCCTCGAATTGTCACCATCAGATTTCTGTCCGCCGCATGGAAGAATGACAAGCTGCATTTAAAATGGTTCAGTAACATATGGGCTTCTTGTCGCTCACTAGCAAAGTTCTTGTCTCGCCATCAAACCTTAGATGGAAGATCAGACTTTTATTCTCAACATAGAGAGTCTCATTTTTCTGGTCTTGCCATATTTACCCAATTGACTCATCATTGCCCACATCGTTGAGTAGCTTGGAAAATTCAGCTCAATGTTTTTAATATTTTGAGAATCTGCTGCTTTTGATTGCAAGCAAGATCAATCAGGAAGGTGGAACATTCTGGACTGAGATTAACTGTTGTCAGTGTCACTGTACTTGTGTAATAAGCTTTATCTTGGGAGTCAGAATTAGAATGAAGTGCTGAACATCTAATAAGGGTAGGGAAATTTGAATATTTAAATTTAGGATGAATCTGTTTTAATAGTAAAGTATTCTGTACCTGAAGTTACTAGAAAGCACACGTTTTCTCTAGTTTTCAAGTAAGTAACTGGTGGACATATGAAACTTTAAAGCATGTTGTGTATACATTATCTAAATAAACCAATAATTAATTTTTAACAAATACTTTCTGTAGTCATTCTGCGCCAATATAACAGATTTGAGAAAGTTTGAGCAAAAGGTTGCATTTGTAAATTGGGATGGTATAATGAAGTATGTACAAAGGTATATGTTTTTGAGCAACATTATCTTCTGACAAATCCCTTTGCATTTGACGAATGCCATGTCTTCCAGGTCATGACTAATAATCATTAAAAATGAGGCTAGTATTTGCAGCAATACTTCTGACCTTACTGTAAAGTTGAAATTAAAACTAAACGACACTTACATTTTAAATAGCACTTTTCACAAAATCCAGAGGTTCCAAAGCACTTTCGAGCCAATAAAGCAAATAAACAAATGCTTTTAAAGTTGAAATATTCAATATTAATGTATTTTGTGTTCCTTAACAATGATATCTCTCTTTCTTACTGGGATGTAGTTGCAGGATGTTTAAATTATTTAAAAGGACTTTTTGTTTTAACTTCTAGGAGCTTCTTTCAGTGCTTCCATCACAGGGGGGCTGAGCACTTCTATCGCTGTGTTTTGTCATGAGCTTCCTCATGAGCTAGGTAAGTATTTTTTGTGACTTCCGTTAGCTTAATTGTAAAAGCATGGAATTAAGCACTTCATTTACTTTTTTAGGTGAAGGAAACATAGAACCATATGATATAATAGCAGAATTAGGCTATTCAGCCCATAGAGTCTGTTCTGCCATTTGATCATGGCTAACATGTTTCTCAAACAAAAACAGAAATTACTGGAAAAATTCAGCAGGTCTGGCAGCATCTGTGGAGAGAAATCAGAGTTAACTTCGGGTTCAGTGACCCTTTAGTGACCTCATCTATTGAAACTCCATTGAGTACAAACCCAGAGTTCTCACCCATTCCTTGTATGACAAGCCCTTCATCCCTGGATCATTCTTGTGAACCTCCTCTGGACCCCCTCCAAGACCAGCATATCCTTCCTTAGATACTGGGCCCAAAACTGCTCACAATATTCCAAATGCGGTCTGACCAGAGCCTTGTACAGTCTTAGCAGGACATGTCTGTTCTAGCCCTCTTGAAATGAATGCCAACATTGCATTTGCCTTTCTAATGACCAAATGAACAAGAGAAACTTAAGAGAATCCTGAACCAGGACTCCCTAAGTCCCTTTGCGCTTCAGATTTCCAAAGCCTTTCCCTGGTTAGAAAATAATCAATGCCTCTATTCTTCCTACCAAAGTGCACATTTCACATCTTAAATACACAAACAATTGGCCAAAATTTACACACCAATTAAAAATAGGACAATCCGACTAACAAAATTTGACATCCCTAGAAATTTAAGAGGCAGTTTTGGGTCCTTGTTGAGAGAAGGACATTAAAGCCATAGCCATCATATAGATTCCCAACAAAGATGTCATGGGTAGAGACTATAGTCACGGCAAGAAAATAGGAATATTTTCACCAGCAAAATAAATTTAATGTGAAGTCTAATTGAGGTTTATAAAATTACAAGAGCCTTTATAATGAATTGCGAGAATTGGATATGTATTTGAAACAGATGATGAAGGCGGTTATGAGAAGAGTGGGGAAGTGGGTTTAGTTTTTTTGGCACTAGTAAAGAGTAATCAGCTAGATGAATAGCCTTATGTTGTAAACATATAATTCATAATAATTGTTGAATTTCCTTTTGAGATTCAAATGTGGTATTGAATTTAGAAGGTTCTCCCACTTTCTCTTAAACTAGTGCCAATTTCTGTAGTGTCTTATTGTCGCGATCCTCAACAAACCAATTTCAGACTACTGTCACCTAGTTTCATAATAGGTGACAACTGTTTTTGTCGCTACTTTTTGTTGAGGCTCTTAGAGCTTGCCAGTCTCAGTCCTTAGGTTTTATCATTCACAACAGGTTAAAGAAAGCATTTCTTACATAAGTCTAAGCCTACAAAGGGGTTACCTTTAGGCTTCCTGCTACTTCTGAAGTTTAAAGATAAGATGTACTTTCAGACCCATTGGTTTCTTCTAGATTTGCCTTTCCACGTGCCACTTCTTCCATACATTTTGATTTAGAATGATAAGATTATAAATCTGAGGTGTAAAGCTAATTTCTTTCATGGATTATGAGCAATGTGCTCTTCCATGGATTGTAGCAAAGTCGTTTTAATTTCTTGAATGATATTCTTATGATCTCTTAAAGTCATAAAGATGTACAGCACAGAAACAGACCTTTCGGTCCAACTTGTCCATGCCAACCAGACATCGTAAATTAATCTAGTCCCATTTGCCAGCATTTGGCCCATATCCTTCTATACCCTTCCTATTCATATACCCATCCAGATGCCTTTTAATTGTTGTAATTGTACCAGCCTTAACCACTTCCTCTGGCACTCATTCCATACACACACCACCCTCTGCATGAAAATGTTGCCCCTTAGTCCCGTTTAAATCTTTCCTCTCTCACCTTAAACTTATGCCTTCTAGATTTGGACTCCCCTACCCTGGGGAAAAACCTTGGCCATTTACCCTATCCATGCCCCTCATGATTTTATAAATTTCTGTAAGGTCACCCCTCAGTCTCCGACGCTCCAGGGAAAATAGCCCCACCCTATTCAGCCTCTTCCTATAGCTCAAACCCTCCAACCCTGGCAACATCCTTGTAAATCTTTTCTGAACTCTTTCAAGTTTCACAACATCCTTCCGAACATAATCAAGTGAATTAACTACTCATGTCATGTATCTTCATTCTGCTGTTTTTAATTATTTACTTGCTTATTGCTTTCCATGTTAAATTTCCATGATCCCAAGTTACACGGAAAAAGAAAGTGTCACACAATTTTATCTATTCTCTCACCATTTTGAACTTAATTTTCTTTCCAATGTACAGTCTGGAACACCGCAAAGGAGAGTTTTTACTAATTATTTGTTCTTCCACCATCAATGGACTTCTAGATAAACCAAACAGAGATTGTTCATGAATTCTACCTTAGCTCATTTCCACTCTTCACAGGCACAGGCGTGGATGAAAAAGCTCCTAAAGCCTATTCTATGTTTCAAATAGAACATGATCTACATCTCAAGCTTTTATCCAACTACCTTGGTTCCATGTCCCTTAATTACCCTTGCCTAATAAAACATAGAATAATACTGAAAATACTCAGCAGGCCCGGCAACATCTGTTGCGAGAGAAATGGGTGGGATTTTTCTCTCTCCAGACGTGACCAGGCAGGTGGTGAGAAGGTCAAGTTATCAGGTGGATTGGTGCTGCCAACTTACACCTCCCTTCCTTTTTAGGTTCTCAGTAGTCCGTGGGTGACCCTCTTTACCAGCCAACTAAGATCCTTAAATGGTTAATTAACTGTCACTTAAGGCCCTCAATAGACTCACTGGCACAATTACCTGTTTTCTTGGCGGGCATGAAAAGTGGCTGCCTGACAGGAGAAACCGTGGTGGTCTGCCTTCCTGTAAGGATGGGATGGGGGTGGGGTGGGGTCGCCTCTATTGCCCAAATCAGTGGGCTCTGAAGGCCACCCCATGCCTCTACCACTAACTCCCTTCTCCCTGTGACTCCCATCCCACATACCTCCCCTCCACCACACCCCCCCCCCAAAAAAAAACTACTTACCATCCTGCCAGTTCAGCTGCCCTGGGAGAGACAGGACTTCACTCTCAATGCACTTGACAGGCTGAGCAAGCCTGCTGGACAGCCCTTCAGTGGGTGATTGGAGTTTGACCTGGTAGGCTTTCTTGCTAATGGCATGGGGGTTAGACACCCCTGAAGACAGACGCAGCCACACTTAGGCAGACAGCACTGGATCCAAGTCCAAAGTTTCAGGCTTGTGACCCTTCATTTGAAATGAGATTGTTTAGAGAAGTAACAGTTTTAGGCAAGGCAAGGAAAGTGAATGAGTGAACTAAGGACATATGGCAATGTTTGTGATAGCATAAAAGAGAGATAAAATGACAAAAAGTTGATAATGAGAGGCAAAAGGGATGAGTAAGGGGATGAGAGTAGAGAAAGAAGAAATCTCTAGGGGAGTGGTAAATGGGAAAGCTGGATTACAACCAACAGCTGCCATCCAAAAATGAAAAGGGCAAATGTTATGATATGAAATATGAGGAGCATTTGAATCAGTTAAGATTATATTTGCTGGAGTTCAGAAGAATGAAGGGGGGAATCTCACAGAAACCTATAAACAGGACGATAGGCTAGCTGCAAGAATGGTTTTTCCGGATGGCGGGGAAGTCCAGAACCGTCACAGTCTAAGGATATGGGGTAAATCATTTAGCATAGAGACAAGGAGAAATTCCTTCACCCAAACAGTGAGCTTGTGGAATTCGCTACCATAGAAGGCAGTTAAGGCCAAAGCATTGTATAATTTTAAGAAGGAGTTGGATGTAGAACTTGGAGCTGAAGGGATCAAAGGATATTGGGGGAAAGCGGAAACAGGCTATTGAGTTGGATGATAAACCATGATCATGCTGAATGGCAGAGCTGGCTCAAAAGGCTGAATGGCCAACTGCAGCTCCTCCTTCTGAGCTGCCTGTATTTTGACCCAGTAACAGTGAAGGAACGGTGATATATTTCCAAGTCAGGATGGTGAGTAGCTTGGAGGGGAACTTGCAGGTGGTACTGTTCCCATGTGTCTGCTGCCCTTGTCCTCCTAGATGGAAGTGGTCATGGTTTTGGAAGCTCTGTCTAAGGATCTTTGGTGAATTTCTGCAGCGCATCTTGTGGAAAATACACACCGCTGCCACCAAGCATCAGTGGTGGAGTGAATGGATTTTTGAGGATGTGGTGCCAATTGCGTGGGCTGCTTTGTCCTGGATGGTGTCAAGCTTCTTGAATCTTGTTGGAACTGTACCCATTCGGACATGTGGACAGGGTTCGATCACATTCTTGACTTGTGCCTTGTACGTGATGGACAGGCTTTTGAGGAGTCAAGACATGAATTACTTGCTGCAATATTCCTAGCCTCTGACCTGCTCTGGTAGCCATTGTATGTATATGGTGAGTCACTTGAGTTTCTGGTCAATGATAACACCCAAGATGTTTATATGGTAACACTGTTGAATATCGAGGGGCATTGTTTAGATTGTCCCTTATTGGAGATGGTCATTGCCTGGCATTTGTGTGGTGCAAATGTTACTTGCAACTTGTCGGCCCAAATCTGGATATTGTCCAGATCTTGTTGCAGTTGAACATGAACTGCTTCAGTATCTGAGGAGTCATGAGTGGTGCTGAACGTTGTGCAATCATCGGCAAACATCCCACTTCTGATCTTGTGGTGGAAGGAAGGTCATTACTGAATACAGCTGAAGATGGTTGGGCCTAGGATACTCTGAGGAACTACTGCAGAGATGCCCTGGATCTGAGATGGCTGACGTCCAACAACCACAACCATCTTCCAACATGCCAGGTATGACTCCAACCAGTGAAGAGTTTGCCCCTTGATATCCATTGACTGGGTGACCGCTTCGTAGAGCTTCCATTCACCTGCCACTTCAACACACACCTTGTTCTGTGGCTAACAGTTCTGTCTCAGGCTTGCTGCAGTGCTCCAGTGAAGCTCAGCACAAGCTGGAAGAACAGCACCTCATTTTTCCGCTTGGGGACCCTGCAGCCTTTTGGACTCAATATCAAGTTCAATTACTTTAGGGCTTGAGTTCTCTCATGTCCCTACCCCAACCCCCACACTCCGGGCCTTGTGTTATCACATCGGCTGCAATTACACACAACCCATTGTTAGCCACTAATAGTGTCTGTTAATAGCTGTTACCCTCCTAGGCAAATCGTTATCCACTCCTTTGTCTGTCCAACTGTTCTTCTCTCTCTTTGGGCTCCATCTACAGCTATCCTTTACTCATTACCCTTTCCCCCACCCTATCTTCTGCATATAAACTGACATTTTCCTAGTTACCATCAGTTCTGAGGAAGGGTCACTCGACCTGAAATGTTAACTCTGATATCTCTCCACAGATGCTGCCGGACCTGCTGAGCTTTTCCAGCAATTTCTGCTTTTGTTTCATTGATTCTGGTTTTGCTAGGGCTCCTTGATGCCACGCTCAGTCGCATGCAGCCTTAATGTCAAGGGCTGTCCCTCTCATCTCATCCCAGGATTCAAGCTGTTTTCTTCATGTTTGAATCAAGGCTGTAATGAGGTCAGGAGCTGAGTGGCCCTGGTGGAACCCAAACTGGGCATCACTGAGCAGGTTATTGTGGAGCGGGTGTGGCTTGATAGCACTTTGTATCTGTTTGCTTGTTTTCAATGACTTCCTAAATCTCCCTGCTGATCCACGTTTCCTAGCTTCTCACAAGTTAGAATGTGCTGTCTTTTTTTGGGCCAAAATTGACGATACCACACTCTCCAACTTAGTGTAAGGTTATCACCTTAACGCCACTTCATTGCCTGCCTCCATAGCCCTTGTTGATCAAAAAGCTGTCAAACTCAACCTTGAATATGTTCAACGATCTTGCATTGTGTTCTGTCTGAATGAGAATTCCAAAGACTGATGACCCACCGAGAGGAAAATAAAACTGCAACCCCTAGTTCTAGGTTCTCCCATGAGCATCTATCAAGCCCCCTTGGAATCATGTTTCAATTGGATCGCCTCTCACTGTTCCAAACTCTGATGAGTATAAGGCCAAACTTGCTCAAACTTTCTTCGTACATCAACCTTTAGTGAACATTCTAAACTGCCTCCAGTGCAAGCATATTCCTCCTTAAGTAAGGAGACCAAACAGTACACTACAACAGGTACAGTTTTACTAAAGATGTATACAATTGTAATAAGACTTCCTTTATACTCATCCCCTTTTCAATAAAGACTATATTCCATTTGCCTTCCTATCTATTTGCTATACTAATATATTAATTTTTGTGCAAGGGAATTTTAAAGTGAAATCTGGGGCGGCTTCCAGCCAACAATCTTATGCCCAGTCCCCCAGCAATCTCCAGTTGCCTTTGACTAAGCGATGCTACCACTCACTGAGGTGACAAGCTGCCTGCATGGTATCAGTTTACACAAACATTTCATGCTAACCAGTCTGCCTGCCACTGGGTTAATCCCAACATCAGTGGCTGTGGCCCTTAAATTGTCCTTAATTGGTCATTGAAGGTCATCACTGACGTGATGAGAAAGTTGACCATGTGTGTTTCTGCCCAGATTTCTCATCCTGAATTTAATTCTGGTAAAGGTGGGAAGGTGGCAGAGATAGATAAACCACCACTCCGCCTGATTCCTGCGAGGTATTCATTCCAAAGATGCCGTTTGTGGCAGCGAACTTGCCCCATTCAAGCCTTTTGCAAAAAGTTATCAAGTGTGTAGGTTCACCTCGCTGAGTTGAAAGGTTAAAGACCTAGTGATGCATGAGCTGCTCAGTGTTGGTAGCTGCTTTCATTCATGGTTGCATGAAGCATTAAGTAGACAATGTCCTCCCAATGCAGAGCAGATCATTCATCCTTCTGTGTCATTGAATGAAATCTTCCTTGATGCACCCACAGGCTGTCCAGGCTACTCAGGATCAGATGGCTTCTTGTATTCATCCATCAGAAACAGTACATGTTTTCTCCATGTAAATCATCCAGGATGCCTTCTAGGAAAGTATTGCTAAAGTGTGGAGCTGTCTGCAACATCTCTAGCCTGCAGTATGCTTGCATGGTTCCTTCATGTGTCAGTTTAGACATGGAGGTGATTGTCACAGCCTGGTTTGCATTCAGTAATAAACAAATTGCCAGATCACGTTGTGCTTCAGATGGTCCCAGATGGAGACATGAATTATCACAGGAAGAGGCCTGGTGTAATTCTGTGCTCAGTTTGCTGAAGCTTTTATCCTTCTCTTTTCACACACTAGTGGAGAATAACAAAAGGATTGTGTTCAGACACAGTGGTTACTCTAAATGCAATGTTAATCTTTATAATTAGGCCATTTACACCATTAAAAGGGCCTTGTTAATCTAAAGAGAGAGGTCTGCCACTAAACAAAATTTCTAATACTGTTAGGAATTTCTGAAAATTAGATGAGAGGATTTGTATCCTTTAATCGTAGATGTTACAATGGTAGTTTGTAATATGGAGGCTGTGTTAACTCAGCTGAATCATTTTGCAGAGGTGGCACTAATGTTGGCTTTATTGTACATTTTTTCATTGAGGGGATATTTTCTTTACCCCAAAATAAATATTTTCATAACAATATACTAATCTGGTTCTGAGGAAGGGTCACTGGACCCGAAACATCTTTTTTCCTTCACAGATGCTGCCAGACATGCTGAGCTTTTCCAGCAACTTTGTTTTTGTTCCTGATTTACAACATCCACAGTTCTTTTGGTTTTTAATAATCTGGGCTATATGGAGACTTAATAGCTGCTGTTAAATGTACTTGCTGTTTGTTTTGTGCACTGCTGTTTAGATTATATGAATGTTTAGTTTGGTTCAAATATACTGGAATAAATGAATTAGTCATGTCACCATCAACCTTCAGGACAGTTTGAGAGCGTAACGTGTTGGATTTGCATGAAGAAAATCTCACTGTGCTGTACTGAATCTGTCTGTTGAGATTAGTGCCATAGTTAAAATTTGTTGTTTACCCATTGGTTTTCTAGTTTTGTACTTCATATATGGAAGAAACAATAATGGCAGCAAATAGAGTTTTCTATCTATTTAGCCAGTGTAAATGTGCTGGACTTTGGTCAAAGAGGTGAGTTTGTGGAGTGAGGAACCTATCCATAATTTAACTCAGTTAAGGAGGCCCATACCTATCACATTTTCATTCAGGAGAAATGAGAGGGATGGAGTTGGGCCTGCCACCTCTGAGGCCGGGCCTTACGCTGTCACGTAGCTGACTGTATGATGAGTTGGCAGACTAAAAGATCTGCCTCTGTTTATTGGGAACGAAATTGGTTCAGTTGTAATCATCAATCTTATGTCCTTAATCCCTTGCCACCTAGGATCTCATAACCCATCATCTCCCATGACCCCTATACATCCTCATATTCACTCTCCCAGTATCCACTATCTACAGAACTGCCAAACCATTGACAAGTAAAATGCCGTGAAAGTGACAACAATAAGCAAAAGAGACTTTGAAAATCTTTGTTCTCTTTCTTCTTCCAACCTTTCAAAATGTCAATTAATCATTGATATTCAGTTTATCAGTGATAAAAAGCTTTTGTCTCACAGTTTCCTCTTAATCTTGTATAAATAAATATACTGGCTTTTGAAAACTACATCAAATAAAGATCAGGTTCATGCGGGGTGATAAGCATGTCAATCAAATGAAGCTAATGCTTCCCCTACAAGCTATGTCAGTGTTGCCTCGCTGAGTCTAAGTGCATTAGCCATTCTTGGAGTTCACAAAGCATTATTAAAAGGCCATCTGGAAAAATAGATGTCTGGCTATCTATTTTATATGCTGGTATGCATACAACTGTCCCTACTGTATTTGAGCTGTTATAGGCTGTGAGGTGGCACAGTGGGGTCATGGGGGTGAGTGTAAAGCGGGCCTAAGAAGTCTTCATAAAACTGGACCAAAACCTCAGAGTGAAGCCTTCAAACCAGCCCAGTTCCGTTGCCACTTCTGGTCTTTGATTATCTCCCAAAGCAAAAATTATACATCAAGAAACACTTTATGTTAATGGAATTGTTTTGTACAGGCTGAACAATGAGGAATTAAAAGCATTTTGGATCAGAAATTATAGACAGTTAGATTGTATGACTGTTTCAGAATTAGTTGAGTAACTGACATAAAATGTTTGATTTAAATAACATAGAATGTAAAAGCATTAATATTCAAAAAGGGATCATACAACTTTGTGACTTAGTAATTTTCTTTCCTCTCTCTAGGTGATTTTGCTGTTCTGATTAATGCTGGAATGTCTGTGAAACAGGCCATTGTTTACAACCTCTTGTCAGCTCTGCTTGCATATGTTGGTGTAGTAATAGGTATAGCCGTGGGACAGTATACTCATAACTTAACCCAGTGGATCTTTGCTATCACTGCGGGCATGTTCCTCTATGTGGCATTGGTGGATATGGTGAGTAATAGCTTGGACATTATTCATCAAACAAATTTGCTTTTTAAAAGTCTGATCTTAATTAAATTAAAACTAATTTTAAATGAGTTTACAAAATTTCTTTGCTAAGGTGTTTCAAAAAGTAAACCTTTTAACATATTAGTGTACTTAAAAACATCCGTGGACATATTTTAAGCATTAGTTTGCTGTTATTAATTTTTTTCTGGAGCAAGTCAATAACTTCAATAAACTTGAAGAACTGGTTGTGTGTAATGATGAAGCAGGTAATGGTTTTTGTTCTAAATCTCACCCCTCCATCTGTGTACTTGCTTTATGTTTTATCTGCCTGAAATGATCGACTTTATTATTAAAAATTCCTTTTTTTTGCAAATTTACCACCACTCAACAAATTCTTTCATTATGTGCAAATTGAGTTGCACTAAAATAAACACTGCAGAGAAATGGGCTTAAAAATCTACATACATTATTGCAATGAGTACAGTAATGTAAGTTGATTGTTAGCAAGCTTAGATGAAAGTTCTCCAAAGCAAAAACGTTCACTTCATGTATTTGTATGTTAATTTTCTGAGTTGAGAAGGGCAATGGTTACCAATTCACAACCCTACCACTTGTAAATGACACAGGGGTGCAGCATATGAGAGGAATATCCTTGAACTGCAACTGATTTTCCCTGGCTTCCACTGCTGACACCAGGAGCCCCCAAGAAAGAAAAATTGCAATAATTTCCGGGGCAGTAGCAGAACATTGTCTCCCTCTGAAGGAACAGATAGTGGACAAGACAATAAGCAACTCTGCACCTTCTAAAACTGCAAGCACTGACGTTTTAAGGTTAAGGCTGCAGTCAGATCTTGAAGGAACTCTCCTTACAAATTTGACTTCCATTTTGTGTACCATCATTCGCATTTCTCTTATGGGCAGGGATACTACATGAACAAATAAACTCCAACTAGAAAATAGGACTGTGGTTGGGGTGGAGGATGATATTTCCATTCCACAACCCCAACTGCTTCAAGTAGGCAGAGGGAATTCTCCTCCCACAAATCTGTTACTAAAAGAGCTAGAAACTTTTGTCGCAATCAAGGTCACCTTTGGAAAAATAATTCTGCAGGGCATCTTCATTTCTCTTCCAAAAACTTTGCTTTTCAAGTGAAGACAATGACCATTATGCCTGAGGTGCACAACTCAATAATGACAGCTAGATAGGTTGGTGGGCTATTAAAGAATTTGTTTCTTTTTTTGAAGCTTTTGGGTCCTGTTCAGAAAACATAGAATCCCCTAGAGTGTGGAAGCAGGCCATTCGCCCCATCAAGTCCACACTACCCTCCAAACAGCATCCCACCCAGACCCACCACCCCTACCGTATCCCTGTAACCCTGCAGTTCCCATGGCTAATCCTCCTAGCTTGCACATCATTGGACTGTGGGAGGAAACCGGAGGACCTGGAGGAAACCCTTGCAGACGCGGGGAGAATGTGCAAATTCCACACAGTCACCTGAGGCTGGAATTGAACCCGGTTCCTGGTACTATGAGGCAGCACTGCTAACCACTGAGCCCCATGACTATGAATAGTGGACTCAAATAATACAATGAAAAAAACACTTAATTTGATTTGATTTTGATTTTTGTTTTCTTAATGATATTCAATTCCATATGGCAATTTGATAAATTTCTATTTGGGAAAATAATATTCATTACTGTGACTTCTGATGCAAGTATAGCCCTAAATATGATTTATTAGCTGACAAATAGGGACCAAGTTATATGCCTACAAATGCATTTTGCTGTCTAAACATAGGGGTCATCTTTTAGGTCTAGTTAGTTATATGTCACAATCTATGTAAAGCTTTAAATTGATTTACAATGAAAGGGCGGATGCCTTAAACAGTTATTTGTAGACTGTGTAAAAACCAAAAGAACTGCAGATGCTGTAAATCAGGAACAAAAACAAAGTTACTGGAAAAGCTCAGCAGGTCTGGCAGCATCTGTGAAGGAGAAAACAGAGTTAACGTTTCGGGTCCGGTGACCCTTCCTCAGAACTGATGGTGGCTGGGAAAACGTCAGTTTATATGCAGAAACTTCACTTCACTTCAATGCACCACCCTGCTCCCTGACATCTCTGTCTCTGGCTTGCTGCAGTGTTCCAGTGAAGCCCAATGCAAGCTGGAGGAACAACACCTCATTTTCCACTTGGGGACCCTACAGCCCTCCGGACTCCGTATTGAGTTCAATAATTTTAGGGCCTAAACTCTCCCATGTCCCAGTCCCCCACCCCAATCACCAGGCCTTGTTACCACATAGCCTGCCATTACACACCCCCTGTTGTTAGTCAGTAACAGTCCCCATTAACAACTATTCACCCTACCAGCCTGATCGTTAGCAACTCCTTTATCTATCCAACTGTCTTTCTCTCTCTTTGGGCTGTATCCTATTGTTTACTCCCTACCCCACCCACCTCTCTTTTCTGCATATAAACTGACGTTTTCCCAACCACCATCAGTTCTGAGGAAGGGTCACCGGACCCGAAACGTTAACTCTGTTTTCTCCTTCACAGATGCTGCCAGACCTGCTGAGCTTTTCCAGCAACTTTGTTTTTGTATTTGTAGACTGTGCTGTAATTATGTTTTCTTTCCCTTTTCTAGTTACCAGAAATGCTCCACCGTCCTACAGATAACCATATTCAAGCTAAGTTTGGGCACTTTGCTCTACAGAATGCTGGGATGCTCTGTGGCTTTGCCATTATGCTGCTAATTGCCATTTTTGAGGATCAAATCAAAATCCAATTCTAACAGTTTTGATGACATGTATGGTCTTGTTTGCCTTATTCAGTGGTACTTAACTTGGTAAAGCAGATTGTGACATATTTGTTAGGACAGTAGATTACTTTTCACAGCAACTGATGTTTGTTTGTGGGTTTGATGCACGGTTACCTCCGTGGTTCAGTATGGAAACTTAAATAATTACTTTTTTTATGTCTGTGAAGACAACAAAATCAATGCTTGAAATAAGTATTTAGCACAATTAGATCAGGATAAGTGATGTAGTTGTAACAACTGTTTAGAATACTTTTCGCATGCATTGTGACAGGTGTTTGTTTATGGATGGCAGTTGCCAACTGTAATGCCATCTGGATTCATGGTGCTGTTTTTGTGAGATCATATCTTCAGTATCACACATACACAAATGAGCAGATTTCAATTTACTTTTGAAAATGGTGTTATTTCATGATTGTAGATATTGTCCATTGAATTCATTTTCACCTTTAACATTCCTACATCCATTATAATACCTCAGAACCATGTTTGCTGTTCTCATTGAGCAGCTAGATTGCTTGTTCTATGTATTAGTTTCGAGTTGATTTTTGTAAGCCCCTATTAGCCTGTCACTGTGTGACATTTCAGTTTTTGTCACTGTATAAATCAATGTAATAGATCATATGTGATCAAGTGCAACTGGCCAAAATATGATAAATGTGAGTTAGTGGAACCTGTGATTCTTGCGCATGTTAATCAGAATAATAAGTCATTAATAAAACCAAAGATTATGGATCCTAACCAGTTAATTTTGACATTTAGGTGAAAAGTTTCAGTGTTAAGGTACCATAGACTTGGTGTTTGTCACAAGTGAAATTAAAGATCATTTTGTTTATCACATAATAAAAAGTTTTGATGTTTTAAGTCTATATAATGCTAATGTATGAAATAAGTGGCTCTTTCAAGTTTTACTTACTTAATAAATTCCTGACAATGCAAAACTATGGTTTTATTGTATTGATTCTGCAACAGTCTTTGCATTTCAATGTGTCTACAATAACTGATGGATATACAGGCACATAAAAAAAAACATTTAAAATTTCTGTAGCAATCATACCAACAAAATTGATTAATCAGAAGTATGGGGTTGAGGAACAGAAGTAGGTAATTCTTAAAATCCTGATTATTACACATTTGAGGCAGATATTGTATGAAACCTTTCAACAGCAAGACTTGTGCCAAATACAAAATGAGGTTTAAGCTTTATACTTATTAGTAAACATAAGCTGTAATAAAGTGCATCAAAATCATTACGAATTAAGCTGACAGAGCAGAGCTACACCACGTCCAATCCAGTGTTCAGGATGCTGGTCAGAAGGGATACGCATTGCAATCACAAAGTTAGTAGAATGTCCAGTTGTGGACAATGTTCCCCTTCTCTCACTGGTTTTGTAAACTGGAGCAATGTAAACAGGATGTGGAGAGATTTCTGACTTCTTACAAGGTTTTAGCCACAGCTGTCAAAGGAAAACAAAAAGAATTGGATACAACTGTTATTCTGGACAAAACAGTTCTCAGTAACAATGTCCTAGAGCCAAAAGGGGAAATGGCCATTTTTTAAAAATTTCATGAGATCAGGTTGTCACTGGCTCAGCTGGCATTTTATGCCCATCCTTAAATGCCCAGTGGGCAGGTCAGAGTGAAGCACATCTCTGTGGGTCTGGAGTCACATGTAGGCTAAACAAGCCAGGGTAGCAGATTTCCTTTCTTAAAGGAAATTATTGTAAAAACCTATCTGGATCACTAATCAACAGTGATTACATGGCTGCCATTGGGCTGGTTTTTAATTCCAGATCCTTAATGAATTCAAATTTACCATCTGCCATGGTGGGATTCAAACTCTTGGATTCTGGATCACTAATCCAGTGACATTACCACTACACCATCATCTTCCCTTATATTAAATTTAAATAAATTTGGCTCATTGCTTTTGACTGAGTTCAACCTTGTATTTGAAAGGTAGAAATATAAAACAACTAACATTCTGGACAGGCTAACTTAAATGGTAGGAGGCAAAAACTGACCCCAGTTAAACTCTGCAGATTTGTAAATAGGCATTTTTTTTTGTATTAGTGGAAGTGTTTTTTTAAAAAATCTTGTGACATACCACCAGTTTATATCCCTAACATTCAAGAATTCCACTTCTGAAACAAACAGCGCTTGGTTACAAAATGGTGAGGTACAACAAAAGAAAATTGTCTGAAAAAAATATAAAAAGGGACAGATTCTGGCAACTATGAAAATGCAGACAACAGGTAAAGGTACCAAATAGGGAGGGCTACAAAAACAATTCTTGAAAAAAAAACTTGCTGGGAATATTAAAATCAGCAGAACTTGTTCATATTTGTTTGAAAGAGGGTTGTCAGGAGCAATAAGGAATGATTACGTAAATAGAAAATCTATTTGCAATGGTCAGAGAATCTAGGACCATTCTAAGTGTCTAAAAAATAGAGCAAGATTTTACAGGACTTTTAAAATTAATTTGTGGGATATGGGCATCACTGGCCTGCATTTTTTGCCCATCCCTAGTTGCCCTTGAGAAAGTGGTGGTGAGCTGCCTTCTTGAACTGCTACAGTCCACCTGCTGTGGGTTGACCCACAATGCCATTAGGGAGAGAATTCCAGGATTTTGACCCAGTGCAGCTAGGAAATTCATTTACATGCCAAAGACATGCAAATTGCAATTGATTTTAGATTTGTTATTTTAAACATGAGATTATAGTAGATATTTTTTAGCCCTCATCCCATTCATTAATGTCTTTGGTTAAGGAGTTAGGTATCTACACTTGGGGGGGTCACAAGATCACAAACCCCGCTTTGGGAAGTCCTACTTTTGAACGAGAGAATGTGAATAGGCAACTTAAACAGTGCAGTTTTAAAGATAGTGCAGGAACGTAAAGAATCTTGGGGTTTAAATATATTCTGAAGGTGGTAGCGCAAGTTGATAAACCTGATTTTTTTTAAGGAAAAGATCCTTGCTTTAAGGCACTGGTTAAATCTAAACTAGAATTTGGTGTTTCAATTCAAAGCAGTATAGGAAGGACGGCAAGGCTGCAAAGAGGGTATAAAGAATATTGGCCAGACTTATACCAGAGTGAGAAACTTCAGCTATGATAACCATAGAAGCTGAGATTATACTCTTGGAGCAGAGACCAAATAAGGGCAGATTTAGAAACTTCTGACAAAATCTCTCAATTTTTGAACAAAGATCAGGAGAAACTGTTTCCATGGACAGAGAATAACCGGGGACACAAATTTAAAATGGCTAACAGATAACCTGTTTTTAAAAATACAGTGATTTGTTGAATGTAAACCACTATCTGAAAAAAATGATAGCAAATAGAAGTCTTTTTTAAAATGGAGTTCGATATAGACTTGAAAAAGGAAGTTACTAAGAGGAACACAGAAGGGGAATGGAAATAATTGATAGAATTTAAACAGGCATGATGTACATGTGAACGAAACAGCCTCTTGTCCTGAATGATGTTAATCCCTCATTAAAAATTAGCTGAATAAGGAAGAAAAAAATAAATTAAGGTGAAACAACAGAATATTTGAATGCTTCCATGGGCAATTAAATCCTGAAAGGCACGAGAACAATAGAAAGGCAGAATACTAAGATAAACCTTTTTTGGATCCAATGTATGTAGAAGGTAAATGGATGGGTAGTCTTTCAAAGGAACCAAGTACGGTAAAATAAATGGCACTGGTGTTAATATTCTGAATGTTTTGTGTCACAAAATCTGAATAATTTTTAAACAAAACTACAAATAACCCCTTGCATTAATAAAACAGATGCTACTTACAACAGGCATTGTATCATAGAGAATTTTGGGATACGACTCTGCCAGTATTTTAAGATTTCTGTCCCAGCGTGCTCCATCTATAAAGAGGCCTCGTACAAAGACACCTGTGTATAAAATATATTAATGAAACTGAGTAACATTTTCCTCGTAGGCACTTTAAACTCTCCAGGACTCATTATTAAGTTCCACAACTTCAGAAAATGATCTCTGTCCCTTCCACATCAGACAGAGGTTCACCTGCACATCCGCCAATGTGGTCTACTGCATCCGCTGCTTCCAATGTGGCCTCCCGATGGTGAGACCAAGCGGAGGCTCAGAGACCACTTTGTACAGCATCTGTGCTCTGTTCGCGACAAATGACAACACCTTCCAGCTGCAAACCGTTTCAACTCCCCCTCCCACTCCTTGGCTGACATATCCATCCTGGGCCTTCTCCAGTGTCACAACGATGCCACCCAGAAACTGGAGGAGCAGCACCTCATATTCCGCCTTGGGAGCCTGCAGCCCAATGGCCTCAATGTGGACTTTGCCAGTTTCAAAATCTCCCCACCCCCAGCCTCATCCCATGAACAACCCTTCCTCTCATCCCTGCCTCCTTGACCTGACACAGCCTGTCCCACCTATCCACTCCTCGCACCTCACTGACTAGTCCCCACCACTGCCTACCTGCATCATTCCACCTACCTTCCCCAGCCCCAACCCTCCTCTCTGTATTTATCTCAGAGCTCCTTTCCCCCTCCCCCATTTCTGAAGAAGGGTCCCGACATGAAACATCAACTTTCCTGTTCCTCTGATGCTGCCTGGCCCTCTGTGCTCCTCCTGCTCCACACAGTGTTATCTCAACCATCTGACACAGTTCTCCAACAAGGGCAATAGATCAGTAGTAAGAGTCAGCACAGCAGTGGCATTCCCAAAGAAAGAGATTTATCCCAGTAATGAACAGATATCAGGCAAACAGCCCACAACAACTCACACACATACCATTACAGTCCTTTCTCAATTATGCATGAAATGCATGAGCAGAGATAGAATAAAGTAGGAGAGACTGGTCTCCAATAGTCATTGTTCACGATTGATAATTTTCTTTGATGATCATGCATATTGGGTAACATGCAAATTATAGTGCATGCAATTTTTTTAACACCACATTGCTATGTACCTCTGAATCTGAGGTAGTTCCTGGAAAAATAATTAAACTTCTGGACTGTAAAGTATGCCGCTGTGGTGACTCTTATTGCTAATCTATCGACTTCATTGGAGACGATGGCCTCTGGGACAAATGGTTGTTCTGTGTCTTCCACTTTCTTCATAGGAGATTGAGGAACATCTCTGTGCTGCAGTCTTCACACTGCCTAGTGACCAGCCAAACCTTCCTAAGAACCCAGCCTTGTTCATGTGCAATCCAGAGTATTCAAGCCTAACAGTTTTGTCATTGCCTAGGTAAAAAGTGCAGACAACTACATATAGCAGCTGACATGTCCATAATAAGAGTTCCATGGACTGGACCAACAGACAGTCTTCTCTATTCGGATCATCATCCTTCCTTGTTCTGAGAGATGGAGTTCAGTTATTGCTCCATGGTTGTTCCTACAAGACAGAGTACAAGAAATGCAAATACTCCATTTCCCAGAGTGGGTGTTGAAGTTTAGAACATAGACAACATAGAACAGTACAACATAGTACTGGCCCTTCGGTCCACGATGTTGTGCTGACCTATTATCCTACTCTAAGATC